GCCGCGACTGATGCAACTAGGTGTGACAAAAGAATTGGGTAAAACAATCGTGGTGTGGGTGGTCATACAGGGGGGAATGTGTTTTTCAGGACTGACATGGCTCAAAGTGCGCCTCCCATTTCTGATAAAAAAATTGGGCAAGCGGCTGGGCCCTGCAAGTGAATGCTTGGTTGGGAAAATTGCATAACAGGCAATAAGTTGGGAATGGGCTGGCCGTGGAGCAGGTGATGTCTGTCGCCGGTGCATTACGCACCGCCTAAAGTAACAAAGGGAATTAGGAGTTGACGCAGGAGATGTACGACTTGAAGGGAGAGGAGGAGGGGAAAGGAGGAGCAAGTAACGTGTGTAGGTCAAGGACAACGTGCGTTGTGCAAGCAAACCAACAGGCTAGTCGCCCAACCACCAACCGAGCCGCGACCGCAGCAAAATAGCAGACATTCTCCAACATGCGGTGCGAGGGTCGTGGCAAGCACACACAAAAACCCGTTTGCTCCATCATTGTGCGATGCAGATTTTCCGTTACAAGTCTAACTGTTGGGGGTGATTTCAAATAAATACAAAAAATCTTTTATGTGTACAATGTACAAATGAATATGCAGTTTGATATATAGTTTTTAGGGTTGTTCAACAAAGTTGAACGGAATGGCGAACATCAAACAGATGATACAATAAAAGATGCGAGATCATATAGTGGGCTAATCGAGCTGGGCGGGAACGTTGGTGACGACGTTTAGTACAAGTTATGTACGGAAAATCCTAAGGCAACGTGAGGCAGCCTCAACGCCATTGAAATGGACCAAACATGCACGTACGAGAGGTAAGGTTGTACGAAAAGCGATAAACCCTGATAATGAAACGTAGAATTTTCCTTATATTTCCCCTTCTCCCACAGTGGTAGCAACAAAGGGTCAAAGTAGGGTGACAAAGAAAGCATCGTGCAAAGTTTTGGTGAGATGGGCACTTGAAGATTCTTTGTATCGAGAAGCAATTGTCTCCGAACAACCATGGTGAAACTCGTGCAACTGCATTCGCCTTCCAAATAACATGGACAGATTCCTCGTAGAAGTCTAGAACTTTCATTACAAAATGTTGCTATATCAATACCAGGTTCTTAGGGATCGTCGTAGTAGGAAGAACGTGGAATTATTAGTCGTGCTAGATGAGGCGTTGTTGTACGCAAACTCCAAGATCGGTAAAGTATTCCCCCACCGAGGGGTCAGCAAAATTCGTACGGATGAATTGCTCCATTGTCTGATTGGTACGCTTGTTGGTGAAAAAGGCTCCGCCCTCTCTTTGCTGAAGCCGACTTTGCTGACCCGTACAGAAGGTATGCAGCGCAAGGCTTGGTGGACGACGTTAACTTGGAGGAGAAAGTCGATGGGTTTTGTTAGCCGACTTTGGCGAAGCCAACCACAGCGAAGCTGAATTTACCGGAGCCAACTTCAGCGAAGCCAACCACAGCAACGCCGACCAGACGCAGGTCGGAAAAGTAAATGTGGCGTATGGCATCAAGCCTTAGAGGTCGACAGAGGTGATTGTCAACATGGGGCCGACCTACGTGCGTTAGCCGATAGTCTCGGTGTCGGTTGAGCAGCCTCTAATGATTGACCAAACTGTTGGTCGGCGAAACTCTGCGAGTGCACGAATTTTGCGGCTTTGGCAAACGTCAACCTGCGTAACGAGCATCATGTGCTCTACAGCATTGCACATGTGCAATGAGTTTCTCATGCACGACGTGCACACAAGTGTCTTAATCTACTTGGTAGGTGATACACATGTGCGTACTTAACTTAGTGCAATGCTGGCAAGCTGTCTTAGTGCAACGCTGGTAAACTGCCTTGCTACAACGTTGGCACGCTACCTTCTAGCTACGTTGGCAAGCCGCCTTCCTGTGGCATTGGCACGCCACCTTCCGACTGCATTGGCACGACACCTTCTTGCAGTATGAACAAGCTGCCTTCATGCTTTGTTGGAAGCCAACTTGCTAGTTTAATACGTGTGTTGCATTTTGTTCGTGCTATATCGACTTGTTTTGCCATTGTGCATTTGTTTCTATCTTCAACTCCTGATAGTAAAACTTTTGTGAATTTCACCTACAAACGTAGGGAGAACGTAAGCAACGCTTTGATCGCCTCATACAACTGGTGGCCATTGATGCTTTTCATCTCCTGTTGTAGAGTGACTACTTGCATGGTGCATTGAGCATTGACAGCCCCACGAGAGACCTTGAGATTAGACTGACATTGCGCATTAGTGAAGTCATTGTTAGACCGGCAACTGTCGTATCGCCATGGTCGACTAAGAGGTTACTCCAGGAGTAAGTGATGCCCTACAAGCGTGAGACGCTGCTGTGCGGGAGCGCCACCAAGGTGGCGAGTTTGGTGGGGCAGACTTCGAGCTCTTGCTCAAAGGAATTCGTGCAGAGTAGGTGTGTGAGCATCGTCCTCCCCATGTAGAAGCGGGCGAAGAGTCCACCTCTCCCCGAGCTGGAAACGACGAAGGCGACAGCAACCTCGTCGGCGACGAAGGCACGAGGGCGCGCGGAGTGCTTCAAGGGGCTGATAGAGCTGACACCATCGGCGTCGATGGGACTCAGGCGCAAGTGGTGGAGTCAGCAGCTTTGGGCAGCTCGCTAGGTGACGTCCTCAGTTGATATTGCTCTTCTCGGCGAAGTGGAGCCAGACCGACTTGGATGTCATACATGTAGGCTCGCCAAGATGGTGGTATCGCCCTATCGTATGGCTACTTAGTTGGGCAAGATCGGCGTGTCCAAGCTACTCGAAGACCGACATGATATGACGATGCGAACAGCTGGGATTGAGCCAGAGGTGGAGATTGCGCGACCAAAGAAGTTCACCGACGAGATTGTGGAGACGTCGGACGAGGACGACGCCGATCTCAGGGGGTAATTTCACGCTACTCACCTGCCGGCTTTTATATTCACCTCGAGGTGCTTGTTGCCGATGGTGCAAGTGGCACTAAAACCGTGTCGATTACGTATGGTTGTTGGCTTCCAAGCCTGGCAATTCACTTATGAGAGCGTACAAGGTGACAAGCAACCTCTAAATCATGGAGCAGTGGCTGACCAACATTAGCATGGGCGAACATGAGTCGTCGACTAAGTACTACGGCCGGGCTTGGCGCACTCTAGCCGACTTGCGAATGGCCGGGTTCGAGTACTTGCTATTGTCATACATCTCGCACATCCTCAAAAGACTTCCCCTGGGCTACAACTTGATGCCGTGTGTGAGCAACTCAACGATGACTCTTGGCGAGCTTCATAATTGAAGACGATTCATACACTTGTCAGAGTGCCCAAGGAGCAACTCCTTCCGCACGCCAACTACGCCCCCCCAATGTAGTAGGGGCGGCGTTTTCAAGTGCAGTGTGGGAAGTCGGGAAAAGGCGGTGGCTGGGGCGGAAAGTCAACGAGCGACGCTGACCACGCGAAGTCAAGCAAGGACAACGATTGCGGTGGCGGCGGCAGACACCATTCCTATGTCTGTGGAGACGAGGTGCACTTTCCGTATGACTGCCCCCACTTTCTACTTTCCCCAAAAGACCAGCCCCACTAACTACTTCCCCCAATATGTATCACATTGTGGAACATTTTTACCATTGCTGTATGTGAAAGGTGAGATCATGCTCGTGAGGGTTGTTTGTGTGCGTACAATTGCGTCTGGTTTTGGAGAAGCATGGTAGGTGGATGACGTGTGCACGCTTGGCGTCCGCTTATTTGTGAGCGACCATTCAGTTTGGGACATTTTCGTATAGCTGGGCCCGACCCATCACACTCGAAGGCCCCGTCGTGCTGCGACCCCTTTCACGAATTGATCAAACCCTTTTGATTGGAAAGCCCATGAGAACGACCGTGCAAAAGAGAGTACGACTGCGCTTAGACTAATCAGCGATGTCATAACGTTACTTTGCTGAGGTGTCAAATGCTGCTTCAGCCAAAAAAACACTTCAATCACCCTTTCTGCAGCGTCGTATATTGTTGTACAGTCTAGCTCCGCGTCGCAGACCAGCACACGTGAAGTCACAGCACGTCGTCCAGACGACGAGATATTTGTGCAATTGGCGGGGGAACAGAAGCGAAGCAATTTTGTTGTTATTCGCGCCAGAGTCAGTTCTGTACTTGCTCCTTTCGCAAGAAACATCGTCTATATTTGGCGCTGGTATTCCGCACGACCATCCATGAAATTTGCCGTAGCATTTTCTCTGCGCGACCTGCGCTAAGAGGCATGCGCATGAGGTGCTTATATACAAATGGACGACCTGCATTGCCATAACATCGGACAGCGGATAATGCGTGTAGAATAGAGGCCGTCTTTCTCCAGTCGCACCACGCCGTATGTGGATAAGAGTTCCGTCAAGTAGGTTTGCGCCTTCTAGCCACCATTCACATTATTTTTTCCTTCACTGCGCGCCGTCCAAATTGCTTCGAATACCGTTACGCTGTCATTCCTATTGGCCTTCTCTATTTTCACGTACTTTGCAAACGGTCAACCATTTCATGAGGAGGCCGTCGAAACCTATTCTAAGAAGCGGGGACTCCTTTCGAAAGGTACTCCAACAAGAAAGTCGAGCGCAGGTGCCCATTTGGAAGCGCAGGTGTCAACTTTGAATCGCAGGTGCCAACTTGGAAGCCCAGGTGTCAAGGTGCGTGTTTTGGCCAACTTGAATTCAATCCATTGCCGCATGTTGCAATTGATTCTCACCCGCGTTCCACCGCATTGTTGCTTCTGGGGTTTGATACGCTGCTGGTAACCCGCCGTGCAAGCAGTAACTGCGGGTAACCATGTCGCGAGCATCGTCCCACCATTAGCCCGACGTTCTGCCTCCGTCATTATGTTCTTGATGTTCGATTATCCTCGCTATCTCGAAAGTCTAGAAGAACCAACTTGTCTCATTTTGTCCTTGCCACACCACCTGCCATTTGGGTTTCCGAGGCACCTAAAAATCCGTTCCGCCTCCGTTATTCTTCCCTGTTTCACCACATGCAGTCTCTCGCGCTCCTCTCCCCTATCGCGTCTCTCGCAGCTATCAGTTCGTTCGACCCGGGTGCTCGCGCGTGGCTCGCGCGCGTTCCTTGCGGCCGCCTTGATTCGTTCCCCGCCCTCCCCTCTCCTCTCCCCTCAGCCCCAGCCCCCTTATCTTTTCCGCCCTCCCCCTCCCCCACCGCGGTCCTCTCCCTTTCCCCCAAATCCATGTGCGCAGGATCCCACCATGAAGGCATTCAAGCTGCTGGGGCTGGGGCCGCAGGACAGTGTGAGGACGCGCGAGTGGGGGAGGTTCGCTCTTCCCCAACCCCCTTCCTTTCCCCCCACCTTCCCCCCCCCCCCCCCCCCCCCCCCCCTCCTCTGCGCGCAGCCATGAAGGCATTCAAGGTGCTGGGGCTGGGCACGCAGGACACGGTGCACTACGCGCGCGCGGGGGGAGGGGGGGTCGCTCTTCCCCACCTCTCTTCTTTTCCCCTCTCCCCCCTTCCCCCCACCTTCCCCCCCTCCCCTCCCGCCCCCCTGCACGCAGCCATGAAGGCATTCGCACTGCTGGGGCTAGGCGCGCAGGACATAGTGCAGTATGTGTGCGTGGGGGAGGTGGGGGGCGACGGCGCAGGGGACAACGACCACGACCTCGACCCCCTCGACCACGATAGCCACAACCACGTCGCCAGCTCCGCGGGGGGCGCATCTCTGCCCACGCGTGAGAGTCCCCTGCGCGGAAGCAGCAGCACCGGCAGGCTGAGCGCGCTGCTGAGGGAGCGCTGGATCAGGAGATGGCGGGCGGTGGGCGAGGGGGGGGGGGGGGGGTGTGGGGGGGGGGGGGAGGGAGAGGGGGACGAGGGGGGAGTGGTGTGGGGGAGGTGCGGAGGCCGCGGCAAGCTGCTACTGCGCCCTGGTGCTCGTGAGGGAGTGAAAGGGGGAGAGCGGAAGGGATTGTGATTTTTTCACGGGGATGGGGAGATTCAGGTGTGGGACAGTATGCTAGGAGTGGGACAAAGCATGTTGCATACGCCACACATGCTCCTCACACACATACCCCTCAACTGCTCAACTGTCATTGCCTCCCTCTCTTTCCCTCTCTCTCCCTCTTTTTCCCTCTCTCTCCCTCTATATACCCAATGGGTTTCTCATCTCGTTCTCTCTCCTTCTTCCCTGCCCTAACCTTCTCTTTAAAGCCCGAGTTCCACATGGCTGTTTTCAGATTCAAGATTCTTGAATATAAACTCGCCAAAAACAAGGTTACCACCTGAGGTAAAGCATTCTGTAGCTTCATAGAAGAGAGGTTTCACAACTAAGAGGCATGATTGGCCAGCGAAAAAACAAGTCTTCCGGGTGAAATGTCAACGGGAGATGGAGCACTACTCACATTCAGTAAACTTGAAAACCAAGTTGTACTAATGGGCAGCCATATTCAGGCAGTACACGTAGTCTACACTGCTGTTCAGGACCACAAGAGCGCGTGAGATCTCATTTGCGTGCGTGGCAGCGAGCTATCTGTATCCTTGCAGCGGCCTGTTTGTTGTTCTCAAAAAAAAAAAAAAAAAAAAAAAAAAAAACCAGCATAAAGAAAAACGTCATGCGCCACGCCCATTTTTGTAGGGACGATGGCGCTCACTATTGGATGCACGTCATTCTGAGTGCATGTCATCCTAACGTCCTGCCGAGTGCTCATGCTATTTGTACTTGCATGATTTGCATGAGCGTATGTCATTATGCATGGCTGTTGGATATTATCATCTCTGTGTTTTTCTCCAAGTTTAAATGCTTGATCATGCAGGAGAAATCCAGAGCTTTTCAACGATACCAAGATCGCCTTATTCCGACCAAGATCGCCCAAGTTACAAGATTTCCAAGACTTGGATTTCTTATTACCTGTTAAGGTTATATCTAATTTGGGTGATTACTTGGGACAAGACTATAAAGGGATCTTTGGTTGCGTGGTTAGGGAAGGCAACTTTGACTTTTGGATTGGGGTGGCTAGAAGTTTCTAGCATGGGTTGCAAATGTTGCAACACCTAGGCAAAATCCAACTAGATTGGATTTTGCATGTGACACCTCAAGGACCTCATGATGAGGGTTGCATCCTTGCTGCTAGGAAGGTTCCTACCATCCTTCCCTAGCTCTTGAAGAACCTCTTCCCTCTCATGGTTCTCTTGGAGTCCCCAACTCCAACAATTTCATGCCTACATGCTTGTACTTCCTCCACCATTCTAGTCATGCGGCTGCTGGACGTTTCTAAGTCGTTCTCAATCTATAGACCATCTTAATGACTGATTCAACTTGGAGATGGTAGCTAAGCCTAAGGCGCAACATCCTACCGAGCGGATTTGGTTTAGTTGAGAAATGAATTCGTCGTAAGCTCTCAAAGTGATGGATCCTGAACAACAAGTGGTATCAGGGCCGGTAGTCAACTTTGAGACGACAAATCGACAAGAATTCTCAACAAATAATGACGAATGAGACAATTTTATAGTATCTCTGCTCACGACATTTTGATTGGTGGTTGAATAGCGTTCTAATTCGAAGTATCTACTCCGCGACAGCGATTTTCATAGAATCCGAATTTCTGGCAAAATTCTCTCCAAACGATTTCTCAAGTTTCCACCGTTCATAAGGCCTCAATATGGTTGGTACGAACTCTGGAGGTGCTAGTGGCGAGATGGATAAAATTAGAGAGGCTGGAGAGCAAGGGAGAGTTGCTGGTGGAGGAGTGGGGACTCACCAACCAGCCAACCCTATGCTACCCTCAACTTCTACACCATCTCCTACAACCGTGGATCTCGTGAAGGCGTTCTCTATCGAGAATTTCATTGGGAAGGATTACGAGCACTGGAGCTTCTGCATGAGGCTGATGTTATGTGATGCTATCATTTGCATTCACGTCTGTCTACCTCCCATCATATGTTCGTGTTGCATGCGCGGTATGAGCGTGTGCAAGAATTTGTGACTCGTGTGGTTTGGATTCTTTGAGTGTGTGTGGATGTAATTTGGCTTGAGCAGATATCTGAAGTAACTCCTCTGCTCAAGAGCTTTCCGTCGAGCCAAGTATCGCTTCAATCGGAGCACGAACAAGAAAGTTACGAACATTTGAAGTTCGTATGCTTTTGATATTTGGTTGTGGTGACTATGGGAAGTTGTGGGGTTGACTCCATAAGGGGTATAGACTTTTGGGGGTTGGGAAATTCGTCAACATCACTGTCGATGCTGCCAAGTGGTTGAGAGAAACCAAATTGGGTGGGCAAGTGTGGCCAACTTGGGTGAGGTGGATTGTGGAGGTTGGGAAAGTGACAAATGTCAAAGTTGGGGTGCCCATAGGGAGGGATATTGTGTGGTATGGGGTTTCCTTGGTTGGGGACTCTCTTGGGACCTTCCCTCTCATCCTCCTTATTCCCTCCTACCTGTTTTCTAGCTTCTCTAACTTTCTTGTGTAATTGTGAGAACTTTATGATTGAGTTAAATTTTATATGGCAGCTTACCCCCTAGTGCGCCGAAATCCATAACTCAAGATTTACTTCACCTTTCTGTACGATTCAACTTGGAAAATCTAGCTATACTCTAGGGCTACATCATATCTTAGTTTTGCGAAGTTTTGACCGTGAGTTTTCCGTCGACATCGTTTCTTGTGAGCGCGACGAGTCTGTTTAAAGATTGAGACCAACGATTTTGATATATTTCGGCCTCTAAGCTTCCTAGACTCCGTCCTTAGTTTCTAAGAAGTGGTATCAGAGCTGATGAAGTGTGAATACCCTCCTAGACCCACCATGGCCTGTGGGCGTGCCTAAGCGGAGTTCTGGAGGTTGCATATGACTTCCGCTAATGGGAAACACTGCCGAAATTTCGTTGGCGCCGACACTTGTGAAAATATTGTGGGACTTCGGTGTAGACAGCAAAGGGGGGAGCAGAAACATGTGATTGGGAGCGGAGGAGATGAGTGAAGGGAGTGGAGAAGTAGCTAAGAAGAGGAGTGAGCCGCCACCATCCAAGATTGAGGCATTGGATGGCTCCAACCATGACGAATGGAGCGGGCGGATGCGGAGCGTCTTCAAGCGCTACAAGCTGCTGAAACTTGCGATGGGAGAGGAGAAGATGCCCGAGGAAGAAGATGCTCGGGATCGGTGGATTAAGAAGAGCGCGGTGCTGTACGACCTAATCCTTCAATCAGTCAACAACGACATGTTCTAGCACATCAAGGATTTGGTGGAGCTCGATGATTCGGGACCGAAGGCGTGGAAGCTACTGCGCAACGTGATACAGCCCAACACGCTGCCGATGGTGATTGTGTTGGAGAAGGAGCTGGCTGCCCTCTCCATGCGACCAGGTGATGATGTGAAGCCGGTCCTTGACAAGATCAAGGACACCTATGCGAGGATGGCAGCGGCGGGCAGCAAGGTGTCGCAGATGCAGCAGTGCACCAAGATCATGTCGGTGCTTGACAACACTTGGGATAACCTCATCCCCACCCCCAATGTTCAGCAGGACAAGTGGACGCCTTTGTGGCTACGGTAGCAGATCGTGCAGGAGGACTTCCGCAGGTGCCACACGGGAGGTGGTGCTGCCAAAAAAATTGCTGAGGGGTATGGAGCTACAGGAGGCAGCTGAGGAAGAGGGGGAGGGAGAGGCCGAGGCCGTGGGAAAGGCTTTGGCAGAGGGAGAGGCCGAGGTGACTACAATGAGGGGCATGGGAGCTCTGGTAGCAGGGGGAGCGCCCAAATGGAGGGTGCGTGCTGGTACTGCAAGAAGGCTGGACACCCGTGGTTCAAGTGTTTCAACCGGCCTGAGGGATGGGCGCCTCCAGGCATGAAGCCGCCAAGTGGTGAACATGCACGAGGTGGTGCTGTGCAAGGTTCAGGTGCACAAGGTGATGGTGCACAAGGTAAAGCAGACCCTGGGTTGTTCCTCATGGTTGAGGATGTGCAAGGGAGTGGGGGTGATGTGGGTTCAGTTGGGAAGGTTTTGATGCACCCCCTCACTCACTGGGTGATCGATTCATTGTACAAGTCACATGTCCCCACTGGCAGATTTGCTTGACGAGGTAAAACCCCCTGGGAAGATCAAGTTTGTGGCTGCCGCTTCAGGTGCTTTGCTCCCTGTGACTAGTGTTGGGAATGCCAAGGTAATGGAAGCCAATGGGGGGATTGTCGGGCTGGGAAATGTGCTGTTGGTTGAAGGTTTGCCCGCTAACCTTGTTTCTGTGCGCCGGCTGCAGAAAAGCAAGGCCAAACTGACCTTCGGCCCAACTAGCTGCTGTGCAAAACTTGGGAAATTGCTGCTGTGGGACTTGGAGGAGAGAAGCAGCTGCATCAAGGACCTGTGGCAGCTGCCCATCATCCCTTGGAAGGGGAAACCACCAGCAGCGGCAACGGCAGCGGCAGCAGATAAAGCAACCGCGGGAGGAGAGGAGACTACACCAACTGCTGGGGCCCTGGATACAGTCAAGAAGGTGCAGCAGCCACAGCAGCCACATGGTGAGGTGCTTGCTACTGTGGATGCCACCGCTGCATGGGCAAAGGCTTCATCCGGGAGTGGTGAGGCCGATTGGGAGACGTGGCACGAGAGGCTGTGTCATGTGAATCTCCCCATGCTGTAGAAGCTAGTGAAGGATGGGAGCTTGACGGGATTGGTTGTGAAGGGGGCAGCGAAGGAGATTGGGAGCTGGCCTACATGCCTTGAGACCAAGTTCACAAGTTCCCTTCAGTAGGAGCACAGGACCAGCTTAGGCACCACTTGCAATTGTGCACATAGATGTGGTGGGCCCTACGAGGGCCAATTCTCTCTCAGGCAACCGCTACTTCTTGACCATTGTAGACGACCACACGCGTGCAGTGTGGGTCTACCCTCTCAAGACTAAGGGGGAGGTGGCAGCGGCTGTTCTTAAGGAGTGGATGCCGAGAGCTCAAAGGGAGAGCGGACATAAGGTGAAGGTGATTTGCACCGACAAC